AGGTGGTAATAATAATAATGATAATAGTAGTAGTATTAGTATCGCGTGGGAAAATTTAAAAGTACTATAGATGGTAGTTAATTAGTATTATTTGTATCGCGTGTGAAATTTTCAGAAAATAAAAGTAATATAGGTGATAGTAAATCAGTGTTGTTTATATCGCGTGTGAAATTTTCAGAAAATAAAAGTAACATAGGTGGTAGTAAATATTATTTGTATCGCGTGTGAATTTTTCAGAAAATAAAAGTAAGATAGGTGGTAGTAAATTAATATTATTAGTATCGCGTATGAAGTTTTCATTTTGTTATAATATAATATAACAAACTTATATATATATATATATTGTTGAAATTAATCTATAATGAAAATGTTGAAATTATCATATCAAAAAAATGATCACGGATTAATTTTATCTAATACCTTAATGATTTCATTTGTTTTGTAATTAACAATCGTTGATAAAAAATATACTTTAATTTGAAAGTAAATAACTCGAATAATTACATACTGGTTTAAATTAACTTATCATATCTTTTTAATCACCTTCAAAATGATATACTTATTGTATAGGTGTTGCAAAAAAAAAAAAAACAGCAGTAAGAGAATAATTTTAATAATTAAAACAATTGCAATAATGCTGAAATTGTATTTTAGCATTATTTCGTTGACACTATTAAATGCTATTTATTATGTATTTCACTAAATGCATTTTCATTCTTATATTACTTAGAAATGGATATTAGTATTTTAAAAAATTCAAAACAAAATTTATTTTCAAGAAGGGAAAAAAGGAATATTTGAATAATATATGTATATGAATACAGAAGTAATGTATTAATATATTGTAGGAATTTAGGAGAATTTAGCATTTAAAAAATTTATTGAAAATTATTAAAGTTTTGCATTAATGATGCAACATGCGATCATATATAATGTGAAAACAACAATAATGCTATTTATGACAAATTTTTAATTCCTTTCTTCTCAAATATTTATTAAATAACAAATATTTATTAAGATTATTATTATTATTATTATTATCACTGTTATTATTGTTATTATTATTATAATAATTATTGTCATTAATATTATTATTATTTTGTTGCTATTATTATTATTATTACTACTATTATTATTATTATTATTATTGTTGCTATTATTATTATTATTATTATTGTTATTATTAGGATTGCGAATTATAGTTTCAAATATTCAATGAATTAATAATGTGTGATATTATTATAGGATGAATTGCAGAAAAGAATCAAAGTAATTTTTACAATAAAACTTTTTTTGAACAAAAATATTTTCCAAATAAGTTCTGATTTTTCATCATAATTTTATTATATAATTTATATTCATTGAATGGATAGAATTATTAATTTCATTTAATAATTTCATTTTGTTGTAAGCAGAAATTGTGTAATTTCTCATTTTATATGATTAGTTGAAAATTCCGAATGAAGTAAATTTCATTATCTTAATTAATTGATAGTACACTGACCAATTAGCAAAATGAATTCGATATTAAGTAAATGATTAATTACATAAGTAAAGCGTTACTTGGCGATATATTAGAAGTTCCAGTAATACTTCTCTTTCCTCAATGATTTTTTTTTTTGTTTGAAAAAATCAAAATATTTTCAATTTTAAAAAATTTTGATAAATTCTTTAGAAGTATGATAAAACAAAAATAATTTCTGTTAGCTATTCATTTTGTTCCAATTAATTGTTTTCAATTAATTAATTATTCAAAAGAAAATTATTCAAAATATTATTTAGATTGTGCCGTTCTCTTTCTTCCGAAACAAATGCTCGTATAAAATGAATGAGTTAATAGAAATTTAAATTTAAATTTCCATATTATCAATTTTGATTATATGGTCTGAGTAAAATTATTCGATAAAAATGAATTAACTAGATAGTGAATTATGAATTAACACATTATGAATTATATTATGAATTATGAATGAATTAAGTAAAATTAGCTAGATATTCGATAGTGGATTATTACAAGTATTGATTTTATACAAAATTATATGTAATTTAATTTTTAGTAAATATAAATTCGAATTTGAATATTTGCAGCAACTTTAGCATGAACATAACTGTATTTACGTATGATCGGTAAAAGAATAAATACGTGAACATAACTATATTTACCTATGATCGATAAAAATCAGTAATATTTTAAGTATGTTTACTATTTAGCAATTCAAAGGTAAACAAATAATTCAATTAGAAAAATTAAAAAAAAAAAAACGTATTTAAGGAATTTCACGAATTTTTTGAGTAATTAAAAACGGAAAAATGCAAAAGGTTAGGAAAATAATTGCTATGAAAAGTTAATTTTAGCCTAAAACAATGTCCCCTTTTAATTCAAAATTTATTTTTATAATTTATATATATATATATAATAAAATGGAATTTAAAAGTTAATTCAAATTGTATAAAAGAATTGTTTTAATAAAAATTAAAAATGTCTATAATCTTTTATATACCGCTCAAATTAACTTATCATTAAATTGTAAATGAAGTAATTATTCTTCGATTTGGTATTACTCGATATTTTCCGAGAAGAAATATAATATACCATAGAAGTTCAATCAATTAAATCAATAATATTTCCTATCCATTCGGCTTCATTAAATTCTCATTAGTAGCCAGTAGTCATATGTAGATATGAGTAAAAATTTTTTAACATGCATGTGCGTGTATATGTGTGTACGTCTGTATGTGTATGTGTGTGTGTGTGTGTGTCTGTGTGTCTTTGTATATGCTTTTAGTTCCATTGAAGTTTTCAAGAATTTCGTGCGCGATAATTTTCCCTTACTTGAATATTAATTAATAATTAGTTTGAAGTAAAGATTTGAAAATCATTGAAATCATTTAAGACTAGAAATTTTGTGATAGGAAGATCTTCTTCTGTGATAAGATCTTCGTATAAGATCTTCTGTGATAGGAAGATCTTCATCTTTCTATTTTACTTAAAAATCTACTTAAATTACTTATTATAATCATGAAAATAAATAACAATACTAACTAATCATATAAATGATAATTATAACTTTCAAATTAAAAAACAATCAAATGATCTCTTCTCGTTTGCTATTTCCCTTATCACGAGATTTTCAATGTTTTGATTTCTTTCTTATTCTCGATTGATTTTAAAACTTGCAAATACTTTGAAATCTCTTGCTTGTTTTTTTTTCTTCAAGTTCATTGATCGATGATAAACGATTTAATGACAATGCAAACTTCTTTGATCATTAATTATTACCCTTTGATCTTAGCTAATAAATTTGTTTTAATTTCCGATATTCTCTTCTTTTTCTTTTTTTAAAATTTTCCTTCACAATTTTTATTTTTATCGTTCATCAATAAATGATGCATTTTGTTATTTAAAATAAGAATTGTTAGGTTAAAAATTAATTTCAAATGTTAAAATTATTCGTGGTAATTTTTTTGCAAAACTTTCACTTCTAATTTTTCGTTTCTTCGTTGTTATAATTTAAATTCTTATATTTAAATATATTTAAGTGAATAAATATAATTGCAATATCATTAATGAATAATAATAATTGCTATTGTTTTTCAGCTGTGTAATTAAACGTCAATAAAGTGACGACGAAATATCTAACAATTATCAAAGGGATGAAATATTTTTCCTGTATTATAATTTTATTTCCATTGTTTTATTGTTTCAACATCGATGACAATAAAAAATTACTCTCTATGGTATATTTTTAATGAATTAAAATGGAAGAAAAAAATATTGCAATATTCTATTCGATTTAACTTACAATTGTTATAGCATAATTTTTGTTGAAATTTTCAACATTTTGCTAAATATCAAATTATCAATCAGATAACTGATAGAAAGAATATAATTTGATCAATTGTTGATTAAATAGCAATAATAAATTGCAATGAAATATTTGATAGAAGAATTTAAAAGAATATTGTAGTTTATTAAATTTTAAAATTTGATAATTTAATTTGAATTTTGATCAATAGAATGATCAATTTCATATTGAATATTATTAAGTGAAGATGTTATGGTGTAATTGATGAATTTTTGTAAAACTATTTTACTTGCATTGTTTTTTTTTATAAAATTAAAACAATAATATTATGAAATCATTTTAAGGCATGGATGTTTTTGTAACATCAACATATTTCAGTTATATCCAAGAGAGCAAATGATGGAACGTAACACTAACACATATCAGTTATATCCAAGGGAGCAAGTAATGGAGCGATTATTGGAAGATTCACTGAGAAAAAACAATGAACATCAAGTAATTATATTATGCTATTTCACGTTGAAAAAGGAAACAATTAGAATAAAAAGATATGATCAAAATTTAAAAAGGATAATAATCAAAGAAAAGAAATTTCACTAACCATAATTTTCCTGAAATTCATGAAAGAAAATTTCAGCTACGCACTAACAAAATAAACGCATATATGGTACGGAAGAGAAACAATGCCGAATTGGTGAATCATATACTGAAAAACTTGAATGAAGTCAACCTTCTTGGTGAGGTAGGACGATGAATTAATTATATAGCGAATCTTTGGAGTAATGAAAAATAAACGTATAATGATACTTGTGGATAATATGAATACATTTCTAGTTAATATGAATACATTTCTACATTTCATTGGATCATCTGTACAAAATTTTGAAATTTCCAGCTGATCAAATGTCATAATAAAAATGTCAAAAAAAATGAACATGCAACCTACTATAATATCGTGAAGTATTGAAATATTTCTTATACAATTGCCTAAATAGTGAGGGTCTTGAAAGATTGAAAATATCCATAGATCCCAGGAACTTCATTTACTCATCACGAAAATTTAGCAAACATAATTGAGAGTGGCTCCGGATTATTTCTATCAACGCAATATATTTTATGCGATCACATATCAAATAAATCGTTTATTTTGTTAGAAGTGCATAACGTAATTTAGAGCACACTGAAGAAAAAATGTTAAACACTTGAACGCAATTGATTTCGTAATTCGATTACTTTACGCCGGTCATCAGGAGGAAGTAAAGCAATTTGCTCTTCGCTTAATTGTAATACCTAAAAAATTTTTGGAGATAGTAAAAAAAGCAAAATTTATCTAGGTTCTTGCAAGAATAAAAGAAAATGGAAGAACTTCTCTAGAAAGCATATTATCCCACAATGAAATGTTGGAGAAGCATCTCATACATATCATTTTTTGCAACTGTTAGTATTACGCTAAAGGTTTTACAAAGACAAACAGAATTCGTGTATTCGAAATGAAAAAAGAAAAGGAAAAAAACATGCCTGCATCAATAGCTGAGCTTGCTGCTGATCATCGGGGCTAAGTTCAGCGTCGGCTCCTTGTGGGGAAGGAGCACGCGTGACTGTAGGTCCTGATGAAGTTCTAGAGAAGTTAACTGGTAATGATGAAACTGCTGAAGGCGCCATTTGAGGCATCGCTCCGGGGAACATTGGCTGTGGCATACTGGGCACCGTTGACATCGATACTGGTACCGATTTATCTAAAACTTTATAGCCATAAAATCTAAGTACCCCCATAGGGAAACCAAATAAAGAACAGCTCTGACCTGGATATGCCTGTTGTTGCTGTTGCTGGTGAAATGGTTGCGAAATCGCAGGCGTTTCACGATGAAGCATAGCAATGGCCACTTGTGGGTCAATGATTCGCATAACTACTTGCGCCTAGAAGATTGAATCTATAGTTATCCAAAATAGATCTTGACAAAAAAATGCTTTATTTATAACTGTTAAAATGAGCATTAGAAGTTATTTTCAAAGAAGGTGTAATTAATGTCACTAATGAACCACTGTGAAATATATTATGAAAAAATGAAATTAGTACTCAAGATGTTAAAATGTAAGACTATAATTGTTTTCCACAAGAATTGCCAAACATACAGCTTAATACATATTATTGGAAGATGTCCCGAGATAATGCTCAGATTCCGAAAGATGATTACAGTATCAGTCTCGGTCGCCGAATCAATCCAGTTGCTAGATTATGAGTTGTTTCTACTTCTTCGTCCCCGATTTTTTTCAAGCATTGCTTGATTTAATAAGGGCTTTGCGAAGCAATAAATATAATTCACAAGACAAGGTTTCCAACACAACGGTAGAAGCAAGATCAGACAAACTTGTAGAAGAGCATATGCTAGCTGTGGATTATTCATGAGCAAATTCTTGGCTTCATTCGGATTGTTATGAACACATTGCTTCATTTGTTTCATTAATTCAAACATTTGTTCGGGTGGTAGGGACGCTACCGATCGTGAAATAGCTTCCGGTGCTTTCTCAGCCTCAGTCTCTGGACCATATGGACTTTCCTGAGCTTGCTGCTGCAAATACTGAAACAAATAGAGAGCTATACTTAGAAAAAAGGGTTTCCATAACAGTATAACAATTAGAAAATTTGAAAAGTCAACAAAAGAATTATTTGTACCAAATGTTTAAATAATGCATGAAAAAACCACAAAGAACAACCGCTGTTTCCCCAATGATTCAAATCGATGTATAAGTATGAACGCAACCTCTTGCTGTTGAGCAGCAAATGCTGCTTGTAACTGTTGAACTTCATCAGCACTACGATCACCACCAGCTGCTGAATCAACTCGTAGTGGACGTCCGTTAAGTTCAAAACCATTAAGATTCCTAAATCAAAAGTTGCAAGCAAGTGGATAAGAGTTCTTCGAGACAACCTCTACATTTCCCGAATTCCTTCCCCTTACGATTCCTCAGTGTCATTGAATATAGCTATAATTTATCTATATGCAAGCGTTACCTTCTAAAGAGACCAATCACAAAAGAGGCAAGATCAGAAAGACGCCTATGTTTAAAACACTTATCAAAAAGACCAGTAACTTCTCGCAGTGCACAATAGCTTCGAATAAAAGGATTTATAAGGAAGAATTCAGTCATTTATCTGGATTCATAACACTCTTCAGATTTTTTATGGTTAAAAAATTCTGAAAACGTTCTAATCAAAACTACAATACCTTATTGCACTTTCGGCAGTTTGCGCGTCATTATATTCGCAAAACCCATAACCTTTCGGTTTACCTGTATCTCGGTCATGAACTAGCCGCAGATGAACAACTGCTCCGACCTGCAAAATGCAGAATCATTATACGACCAGCTCATTTAAAACAATTTCTATTCTTTTTAAGAAGATCTGCTGCATGTTCTGTTCTGCTTTAGTGAGTTATTAGATTATCAAGACCGTCTGAAAATCCACAATGATTAAACAACAAGAAAGATTATACATAATTCTTTGAAAATGATTTACAATACCAAAAGTTAGCATCATCCAATTTATCTTCACTGCTGTACTAACGTCAATAAAAACAAAAAAAAACGAGTCATTGAAAGGTTTGGAATGAAAAAAGATTTAGAAATACAGTTTTCACTTATTGAAATGAACTAAATAATTTAAAAAGAAAAAAATTTAAATTACAAATATAAGCAATAAGATTCCCTAAAAAAAATTTTCAAATTTAAAGTGTGAACACAAGAGTCTCTCGAACTAACAAAATTTTTATAGCAAATAAATAAATACTAAATGTGAAAATGATGAATCATGGTGCTAACCTGAGCAAACACCTGCTTTAACTGTTCCTCGCCCACTTCGTAAGAAATATTACCAACTAAAAAAATACTAACAGTTCGTTACCAGTAAAAAAAGGAAACTTCTCAGCATCTGCTAATAATTTTCGTCCAGTATATACAATAACTAAATGATGCAGTATGTTTGCCGCATAACGAATGCTTTTTGCTCTATCTCTTACACAGACAACAAAAATTAACAAAAAGAAACGTTAACATAATTTATTCAGCAAATTTCAACAACGAAAAACAAACCAAAAACAGATCTCGCTGATCGATCAGTTGCGGAAGGTGCTGTTTTTGTTGTGCTTGTTACGGCGCTATCACGTTCACGAAATGCCATCACACAGAATGATGATTAATAAATAAACGAATGTTCACAAACGTGAAAATTGATCGCAGGTATTTTAGAAAAAAGTACTGAAAACAGGAGAATATAATCAGCTAGCTATCTATTAAAAAACAATCTTATTAAAGAAGCAAACCAAGCAACAATACTGTATAACATTTGAATAAAGAAGTGTTACAATGATATTATAGAGAAGCCTGAAAGTTTAAATTAATAAATAGATTAACTGGAATGATTTATAGCTGACAATTCCAATCTTTCCTTTATGAATCCCTTCTCTTTCGAAATGTGCGGCGATCGATTTATATGTATGACAAACAAATTCCCATAGACAAACTTGGTTTCACCTCTTATAGTGTCTTAGGTAGTTATTGTTTTTTTTTCGGAGAAAAGAAATCTAATAAGTAAGAATAGCACTTCCCAACTTAACCATAACCAACTAGACGACCCAAAGGTAAGTATCAATTATGTAGAACTGGGACGGACCGGTGTTTCATTGCATTTTCAGTAAAATCAGGAAGGCCATTCTTGGTCCAGGTTATAATTTAGCTGTCAGGTAGATTTCGGCGATGAAGGGTCGGTTTGAACTCTAACCTCCACTCATAACTTCGATTCAAGGCTTTGAAACTAACATGATGACTCTGAAAATGACATTGCGAAAGCTTATTTCGGGGGACTTCAGACTAATGCGACTGGTGTATAAAATTTATCCATGACTTTTGAAAGAATTTGGGCTTCTGGTAAAAGCGAAAAGTTGGCATTGTGAGAATGCAATTTTCTTCACGACAATCGGTCCCCTATTTTCCAGCCAGGCAAAGATATTATATATCGGTGCAGATTCACTTCTTTATCTTTTCCTTCACAGCAGCGGGAAATCCGATTTGTAGTCAGAAAGGAAATCTTGAGCTGAACTAAAATATGAAGATATTTAAATAATTAATGTATCTTTATATTCTTGTTGTCTGTTTGATAGGATGTTTCATGCATTTGATAGGATATGTTTCATCAAATGATTGGATATGTTTCATGCATTTTCTTGATTTACGATTCTAAAGAAAATCGCTAACGATTTATATCCAATGATTCGTGTTTCCGTTAGATGATAAGGCGATTCTTTCTTCACCATCAGTTTCGTATACGAAATGACCATTTGTCTATTTATCGAGCAAAGTCTAACTCGAATGGTGCGTATTCCATTGTAATTTACTTCTCTGGAATGAAGCGGTCTTACCATCTACACTTCTCTGAATTACTATCTTAGCGATTAATCCTAAATTATTCTTCGGATCAGCGGTAAGGAAGAATGGCTAAGTAGTTATCCGTACTCTTGACAACTATATTATAACATTAAGAAAGAATTAAAACTCTCAATTAAATATTAAGCCTTCAGCTGTGTCTCACGAAGTTATCCCTTAAAAAGAATACCATAAATAAAAATTCCACAACATTTGTGTTCAATTTTTTCCTCTACTCTACGTTTATTAAAACATAAGCTTAATAGATTATTTGATTATCTTACTAAAATGAAATTTTCAGAAGCGTTCTGATTGCACTTCTGAATCATTCTTCCGGAAGGTTCAATTCGTCACAACTTTCATACTTTAGATCAACATAATGGCTACCGTATGAAATCTGTTTAGAAAAGAGAATTCAAATCTTCATTTTTTGAATGTTTGTTATTTAAAATATATTTTCTAACAATATGTGAAAAGTTAGTTTAAGCTCACAGAAAGGATTTAAATTACTATAATCATGTATTGAATATTGAATAGCGTCAAGATCATGGAATCACAAAATTTAAATTTGACGAAAAATTTGCTGGATGCTATTCTATTATATCATACATAAATTCTTGTACGTTTCGAATAAAATCAAATAAATTATGAAAATGGTTCAAAAGTGGAAATCCCATGTAAATATTTTAAGTTAAAATAAGAATTATGTATTATTATGGATTATCGTTTTTTATTAAAATTTAAAATTCTGCAATTGGAATTTGTTTTGTTTAATATACTTTAAAAAAAAAAAGTTGCATTATTCAACCTATGAATTTAAGTTGAGAGCTTCACTTCAAGTAATTAAATTATAAGGAAAAAGTAGAATAAGATCATCTAATTATGAAATTACACAAACATTCAATTTTTCTCTGAGTTATATTTTCTAACATTTTAACCATTTTAACCGTAAATAATTCCAATTGCAAAATTTCAAATTTTAGTAAAAAAGTTCGCTAATTGAGCATGCAATTTCCAAATTATATTCTTAGGAAAGTTTTTTTTATTTTCAAAAAGAAATAATGAAGCAAATATATGGATTATTTTTATGTCAAGAATGGGAACAGGAAGTATTTCATGTATAAATAATTTGCTAAACTGATAGAAGCATTTTAATTACTAGTTCTGTTCCTGATTGTTGTGATTGCTAGATATCTCCAAAAGATCGATGTAATAATGGGTGATTGATAATATATATCTGACTTGAATATTAAGCTACATCATATTCTTTTAGTCATGAAGCAGATGTCGGCCTGTCGTATGGCGGGGAACTTTCAAGACATTTACAGTCCCATTCGCGGTTGTTCTGTTATCAGGTATTTCCTAAATTTTCCTTTCCGTGTCTTTTAAATATTTCAATTAATGACGCATGGATCTAATATGTATTCCGCAATTCATGTTTGGTCCTTTATGTCCTTGATGAATCAGGTGATGTGAGTCAGAAAACCGGAGTATGTCCTCATTTATTTAGTTGGTGTCATACGTTCGAGGTATCTAAATTAGTTGTCATTCTGAATATCGATAGATTCGTTGCTATATGATTAGCTGTTAATTATTTTATAATTTGCGAATTTTTGCTGGTCTAATTCTGAAATTAGTAAGATTTTTTGGCTGATTTATTTCTCCGTCAAGAAAATTGTCTTATACTTTTGAGAGAATTGTCTTATGTTTTATTTAAATCTGATGTTATGATAAACGATGAATTATTTTACGATGGCATTCAGGAAGCGTAAATAAAACCGTATGATGGGCTCCTCTAATGGCAGTAGTGGTATTTTGAAGAGAAAACAGATAACACGAGGTAGGAAGCGTGATGATGTGAGTTTTAATTAGATCAAAAAGTTTTTTTGTACAAAATATTAATTTTATGTATATCATATAATATTTCTGAGTATTGTATAAGATTTGTAAAAATGATTGACACTTCTTTGTTGTCTTATATGATCGGTTTATTTTTCAATAGTTGGCTATATGTTTTTGTTGCAGATATCAATCTAATTGTAATTTCTCTAAAGCTACTAATTTTACCAATCTCCGATGTTCTTTATATTGCAGTTACCTCCCCTTGGTGTTGTCGCAAGGCGAGCGGCTTCTCGATTTAGCATGTTACGACAAAACAAGAACATTTCAATTAGGTATGCATGCTTCTAGATCCTGATTACTACCCGTGATTCTGCAGTTCAAAAAAATGATTTATAACTTTTTGATCCTCTTTATGACTACTAAGAGTACTTGCCTTATTAATTTTTTTACCAGGAAGATGGATGGAATAATTATTTTGTTAGTTCTTAGATCTGGATTTAGGATAAAGTGGTAAGCTAAAATCTAGGCATGCTGATATTGGCGAGATGTGTAGGGAATTTATAGATGGGATGTTAGCAATTTCAGAGTATTTCGAAATATGATTGCTGGGAAAGTATTATTTTTCAATGAAAAATCACTGCTTATAAATTTTAAGCGGGCGACGAGTCGGTATGAATACGCTAGTCAACAAATACGCTAACCGTAGAACATCTTTTTTTAAATCAAATCGTCCACAGAAAGCAACAAGTCAAAAGGCTGGATTACGGTGTCATGATGCATTGTGGGATAAGGTATGGTTAAAATGGCTAAAATTTTAATCATTTGAACTGATTTATTTATTACTAATAAGGAAACGAATTTGATAAGTAGGGACTACTGAGTTAAGCATTTCATAAAAGTCGTTGTTGAATTTATTTATTCGGGAGAAAATTGTTATTGCTAGAGTTATTTGGAGTCTGAATGAGACAGGACTTAAAATAGGTGGAATACACGTTTCAACGGCTTGGGTAGGTTATGTAAATTATGTTTATTTTATGGGCAATAAATTTTGAACCAAAAGTCAAAGAAGTAAGGAAGTTTGATATTTTATGAACTACTTAGCAGGTTCAATCCTGTGCTTATTTACTTTATTGAATGTAGGATGTCATATTGTGTCAAGATATATATGAGATTAAAACATTGTTCCGTATAAAATGTTTAACAACTTCATTGTCTTACAGTGTGAACGTCTGTTTCGAACAGGCGATATAGTTTCAGTGACGGATAAGGATAATGGTTTGTGTTATTTTGCACAAATTCGAGCTCTATTATGTGATCAATTTGGTGAACGCTTTTCTGCTCTTACTTGGTAACATATAATTTTAAATATGTCATACAGTACCTTTTATAGTTAGAATTTAACAACAGATACATAATTTAAAAATCATTATGAGAATTTAAATGGCATATTGCACTAATCACGCTCCTCCAAAATTTTGCTTGTAGCATGGCAGTTTTTGATTTTAAACAATTCACTGCTGATAGGTATTTATTGTGAAAAAAAAAATGTATCTCTACTAATTCTTCTCTGAAATAATAATTAGCGAGAAAAAACTGTTCAGGTTAGTTCCCACTGAAACAGCCGATGAAGCTCATCAGTTCGATGCGGAAAATTTCGTGCATGCATTGTCCGACTCAGCGATGTATCCTTTAGAGGTAGTTTGTTTTTTCTATTCTAATGTAGATTTTCATTTATCATACAAGTCTAAGTCTGATGACTTGGTTATGGTAAAATAATCATAAAATGTCATTCATTCTATTTATGTTTCGGACATTTCTGAATGCTTTTTTAGAGGCGCGAAAATCGCTATAGTAGTATATAAATAATCAAGCAGTGTAGAGATACGTGTGTCAAATAATACTAGCAACATAAGTTTG